AAAAAATATTTTTAGATACAGGAAAATAGACATCTAGGGCTTTACGTGCATATAAAAATTGTTTCATTCGGAGGTGTCTAGCTCCCGAAACTGAACTCGCAAAGTACAAGACAAATCAGTGCAATGTTCCAAAACGACCTGACTTGCAAAATCATAAAAAATCGAGCTTTCAGAATTTCATTGTAAATTTTATGTAATCTTAAACTAGACACTTGGGGCTTTAAGCACATATAAATTATGCCTCAAACAGAGATTTGTAGCCTCAGAAACAGAACTCGCAAAATCAGTTTCAGAAATCCGAATTTAAAAATAGACAAAAATTGTTTTCGCAAACGAGTTCAACATTACGTAATTTACAAACAGTACATAAATCCCAAATTACAGCAAATTAATATATGATCCAACATTTTTCCAGTCTCCCAAATATTACACCAACGTCAAATATTTCATGCGCATTCAGCAAAATTAGCAATAGACAGTAGAATTTCCAACAGCAGCATGTAAACAGAATATCCCCAATACAAGTACATCATCATCAAATTTTCTTTCGTACTCCTGCAATTTATAAAATTAAGCCCCCGAAAGGGTGAGAAAAATCCCAATAGTGCGGCAGTAAAACCAGTAAAGCAACAATATTAGACTAGGCACAAAATTCTAAAACAGTCGCATCAACATTTAACTTTCCGGATAGATGCTAACATATAATCATAGTGCGTATATAATGCCAAAGTACTAATCATATTGCGTATATAACGCCAAAATACTAATCAAGATGCGTATATAACGCTAAAGGTGTACGTTCATAGCACTGCAGTGCACGTACTAACAAACACAGTGGAGATTCCATAGGGCTCCCAAAGGTGAATTCCACTGGACATATGCGGACTGAAGCCAAGTGTCCCATACCCTGGTACCAGAGGGATGCCTATATGATGTGTTCTCAAACATATGCTTACTTTTATTATATAATTCGGTTTCCAGAATGAATTCATAATGTTGGATACTATGACATGTTTGGCACATACCAACAGAACAGATGAATCATGAGGTGCATATGCATGACTAGATCATAATAGCATATATTTCTCGTACTTTTAATACCGAGCTGCCGAATCACAAATAATTCCCCAAAACGGAATTTCCATCATGTCAAGTCCAAAGGCAGAACACATATAACGTATAACATAATACAAATCATCAGGCACATGTGAGCAACAGTTCAAAATTCCATACTCTAGCTAATAGTCACAATAAGTCTCACCACCAAACACTTACCTCGCATGCCACAACTATTAATCAAACAGCAGCCATAATCAGTCCCCACTCAAGGGTTACGCGCACCTAAGCAAAAGTATAACAAGTCAGAATTACAAGCCACAATTTTCCTACATGTTACATGACGTTTTTTGTTCTCCTAGCCCCCTTAGTTCATAACCGGATTGTAGGTTCTGTTTCTAATACGTTACGACTTCAAATAAATATTTTCACTCGTTTACAATGAACAATCCAAAGTTTCTCAAGTATAGGAATTCGGTTTTCAACACTATAAAGAAGCTAATGATGTTTATTAATATTTTCAACGTTACAAAGCCTATGGTGCGCTAAGGCGAGGCTCAACACATGTTGTTCATTTACATTTAATTCATACAAAGTTTGATGCACCACATTTTCTAACAAGGGGGACAACATTCCATGTTAAAGGAACTATTCGTTATTGTGTAACCACAAGACCCCATCGGTCCCAACATAACAGAAATAATAGAACGAAGATAAAACAAAGCCATTCGTTAAAGTACACTTGCAAACTCGATTTGTGGCCAAGGACAACTGATTAATCTATTTACAAAATATTCCCTACAACGCTTGAGTGTGATTAAACAAGGTCCATAACAAGCTGGCCATACAATTTTAGTACATGCCAAGTTTAACCAATATGTCCAATTCAAGGGCTGGTCTAACACCATTAGGGAGACTATTGTTCAAGTTTACAACATGCAGTTTAAGGCTTACATGCATTACATCCTAAGGCTGATTTAAAATGGCAGAGTCCTATGAAAGTACATGGCCAAAAGAAAGCATTTTCCTACATGTATGTAAGGACCGAACCAGGGAACAAGAAATGAGAATGACAACACAATAATTCCCCAATAATGCTAGTGTAAACTGAAACAGAATGGCAACCCACTAATTCCTCAAAGATACTCATGTGAACCGAAACTGTGAGGGGAGAAGGAGATTGAGTTTTTGAACGTTACCTCTTGCCAAAAACACACAGCCAACAATTCACTCATGAAACATAGTCTCCTTCAACTAAAGCTGCAAGGACCGATTTTATCTACATGCAATGAAGAGAAATACCCCATCGAGTCAAAGTCACACATATGCAAAAAGGAAAACCTTTGATGAGTACCGATCAGTGTTGAGATAGACTAGAAGCATGGAAATAGTTCACCTTCTAAGGCTGAACCTTCGGCTGGACAGAGCAGGGAAGAGGATATGCTCTACTGTTTTTGCTCTCTGCAAGGAGGCTCACGGCTTAGAGGAAGAGAAGATGAGGTATCATTTCATGTTGCTCCTCCTCTTGAGTTTCACGGTTTTATGAAGGGGTAGGAGAATGTGTTTGGAAACTTTTGTTATTCGGCTAAGAGACTCCCTATCTTTCTTGGTGTTCCTCCTCCATGTAGCTTACGACAATGAGGGGAATAAAGAGACAAATAAGTGCAGCCCAAGTCTTGGTATTCATCTTGGATGTTCACGGTTTAAGGGGAGAAATGAGGTGAGGGGGAGATGAAATTTGTTTCTTTGTGCTCCTTACAGCTCATGGCCTAGGGGATTGAGAGGAGAAGAATAGTGTGGTATTTTTATTTGGAAAATAATGGCCAGAAATCCTAGTGTGTTTTCCTCTCTATGTGCATAAGATGAAGAGATAAAGTGGAAGTGTGTTTTGCTTTTGACCAATGAGAGCACATGCAAACTGCCCACTCTCTATTCATTGGTTACATGCTTGAAAAGCTGATTGAGTTAGACTAAAACCACAAGCAATCAGATTGCTTTCTTCCCATTCTAGCGCAAGAAACTAGGGGGTACAAGATGGCTGAATTTCGCCATGTGTGAGTCCTAGACCAATCATGAATTGTCTTACAAGATTCTTAGGATAAGGTGTGAGTGAAATAGAGATTAGGGCTGAATCTAAGTCACACAAAAGGGCTCATGGGCCATCGACTTATGGGGGTTTGGGTCCAAAAATTATAAGTCGAAAGACTCTCCTATCTAGGGAATTAGCTCATGCATTATGATTTTATGTTACCCTCTAATTATTTACTAAGGGTTTATTCATGGAACTAAAATTAATCACTTACTTATAACTAATATTCAAATTCATAAAATATTCCAACTTATTCTTAATAACATGCACGCATAAAATTAATTTTTCTAACTCGAATTCATTCCCTCCTGAACACACACACACACACATATATATATATATATATATATATATATTTCGAGTTCAAGACCTGTATTAACACGACTAATGGCAGTTTATATACATTCCTAATTTTACGGGATGTTATAGAACGCTTACATCTGCACAAGAATTGAAGACATTCAAGTTACATGGCAACATCCAAATGTGGGATGAGTTAAAGTTAATACTGACAGAGCTGTGAAGGGAAGTCCGGGTCTGGCTGCTTGTGGGGGAGTGGTGAGAGATTGCACAAGTCATTGGCTGAATGGATTCTCCTACAGAATTGGCATATGCAGTGCTATTACGGTAGAGCTTTATGGAATTTTAAAAGGAATTCAAATGGTTTAGGAAGGTGGTTGGAGAAGGTGATCATTGAAAGTGACTCTGCAACGGCAGTCACATGGCTTACCAAAAGGCTGTGATCTCATCTTGTGACTCGTATACTGGCATAGATGAACAAAGAATGGGTAGTGAAGATAAAGCACACATATAGGGAAGGAAACTCCTGTGCGAATTGGCTATCAAACCTTCTCTTCAAAAATCCGACTCAAGAAGACTTTTGTTCTCCCCCCTCTAGTATTTTCTTATTGTACTTAGCTGATATAGGTGGTTTTGGTAAATCTCGTAATATCCTTTCTTCTTAGCTTGTTGGAAGTAGTGTCCCCCATCTAGGATAAAGAAAATAAAAAAAAGGATATTAGATTTATTTACAAAAGTACCATCAACGAATCTTCGTATTTACAAAATTGCCAACACAAAAATGAGTCAAAAAATAACTTTTAGTAGGTTGTTCTGCATTTTTAGTTTTTAAAACAAAAAAATAATCATTATTTTAGAAGTCATTTTTCAAAACAATTATTTTCGAATAGTTTTCTTTTCCTTTTTTTATTTTTTTTTAAAAAACTCTAACTATATTTACGCATAGAAATCACACATGCCCTATAGGATAATTAATTGAAATTGAATTATTAAATAATATTAAAGTTAGACCTAAGAATATTTTTATTTTTTTTGTGGGGAGTCCTAATAATCTTAAATTATTGATGGAACAATTTTAACGTGACGATAACTCAACATGTTATTTTGATATGATTAATTTTGTAAACTTATGCTAAATTTAATTATATTTTAAAACCAATAATTGGGTTGGAACAAGTCAATCTAATATTTTAATAAAAACATATAATTTATGCATTATGCACCATCTTATTCTTTCCACCATTAATTAAATTATTTTACCAGAAAATATACAATTAAAATTTCGCAGCCACAGAGTGGAATTGGTTTTCCAACTGCGGTCAATCACAGTCAAGCAACAATGATGTTCGTGAAGAGGGATTGAAAGTTTAAAGCTTGACAACTTTTTCACTTCCAAACCGTGAATGACCAGAAGCGAATAACACCATAATCAACACTGTTGAAGATTCAACTCCATTTCCGTTGTAGAAAAAAAAAAAAAAAAATCCCAAATCTCTACCAATCAATAAAACGCGAGAGCCAATTCAAAGTCTCACCCCATTTTCAGGCTAAGTCAAAGTCTTCCCTCTCCCATTTAACCCCATTTACACATACGAACCAAAACCAAAACACACACCAACAACAAAAGCTTCATCAACATAAATGCATCGAACAACATTTTCACCATTCACTCACATCCCATTAAAACAAACATGTACCTTAAAACCCACTCTCTGTTCCTCACCCTTTTCATCTCCACCATAATCATCAACACCGCCGCCGCCATCACACCAGGCTCCACCCTCTCGGCCTCCAACACCAACCAAACATGGTCCTCATCCAGCAGCACCTTCTCCCTCGGCTTTGTCGCCGTCCAGCCACCCACCTCCCCTCCTTCCTTCATTGCTGCCATCGTTTACTCCGGCGGCGCCCCCATCGTCTGGTCCGCCGGTAACGGCTCTGCCGTCGACTCCGGCGGGTCCTTCCAATTCCTGTCCTCCGGCGCTCTCCGCCTGGTCAACGGCTCTGGCTCCACCGTATGGGACTCCGGCGCTAATCCCGGCGCCACCTCCGCCACCCTGGAAGAAAGTGGCAACTTGGTCATCTCCAATGGCACCACAACCCTTTGGTCTAGCTTTGAAAACCCTACTGATACCCTCTTGCCTTCTCAGAATTTCAGTGTTGGTAAGGTTTTGAAATCTGGGTCTTACTCCTTTAGTCTTATCAAAAGTGGGAATTTGACCCTGAAGTGGAATGATAGCATATTGTTCTGGACTCAGGGTCTGAATTCTTCTGTTAATGTGAGTTTGAAATCTCCTGTTTTGGAGTTGCAATCTATTGGGCTTTTGCAGCTTTCTGATGCAAATTTGAGTACTCCTGCTGTTGTTGCTTATAGCAGTGACTATGCTGATAGTAATACTTTGAGGGTGTTGAAGTTAGATGATGATGGGAATTTGAGGATTTATAGCACTTTGACTGGTAGTGGAAACCCTACTGCTAGATGGTCTGCTGTTCAGGATCAGTGTGAGGTTTATGCTTACTGTGGGAACTATGGTATATGCAGTTATAATGATTCCAGCCCGGTTTGCGGGTGCCCATCTGAGAATTTTGATATGATTGACCCAAATGATAGTAGGAAAGGGTGTAGGAGGAAGGTGAGTCTTGACAGTTGTCAAGGGACTGCAACTATGTTGACATTGGATCATGCTCAGTTCTTGACTTACCCACCTGAGACTCAGTCACAGGTTTTTTTTAGTGGAATATCAGGATGTAGAGGAAATTGTCTTTCAGGATCATCTGCCTGTTTTGCTTCTACCTCGTTGTCAGATGGCACGGGACTATGTTACCAGAAAAGTGTAGATTTTGTCAGTGGATATCATAGTCCTGCATTACCTAGCACTTCTTTTGTCAAGGTTTGTCCGCCGCTTGTTCCAAATCCACCACCCTCTTCCGGGGAGACTGTGAAGCAAAAGAGTTCGAAGGTACCAGCTTGGGTTGTAGTGGTTGTCATTTTGGGTACCCTTCTATGTTTGGTTGCCTTGGAAGGTGGTTTGTGGATGTGGTGTTGTAGGAACAGCACAAGATTTGGTGGATTGTCTGCTCAGTATGCTCTTCTTGAGTATGCATCTGGTGCACCGGTTCAGTTCTCGTACAAGGAGCTTGAGCGCTCAACAAAGGGGTTCAAGGAGAAGCTTGGAGCTGGTGGATTTGGTGCTGTGTACAGAGGAATTCTTGTTAATAAAACTGTTGTTGCAGTGAAGCAACTTGAAGGCATTGAGCAAGGGGAGAAACAGTTTAGGATGGAAGTTGCTACTATAAGTAGCACTCATCATCTGAATTTGGTAAGGCTTATTGGCTTTTGCTCAGAAGGGCGCCACAGGCTTTTAGTTTATGAGTTCATGAAAAATGGGTCTCTGGATAATTTTTTATTCCAGACAGAAGAGCATTCAGGAAAATTGTTGAATTGGGAGTATCGGTACAACATCGCCCTGGGCACTGCAAAAGGGATCACATACCTTCATGAGGAGTGTCGTGACTGCATAGTCCATTGTGATATAAAACCTGAAAACATTCTCTTGGATGAGAATTACATTGCTAAAGTCTCTGATTTTGGTCTTGCAAAGCTCATTACCAAGGACCATAGGCATCGGACCTTGACTAGTGTGAGAGGAACTAGAGGATACTTAGCACCAGAGTGGCTTGCAAATCTTCAAATAACATCAAAATCCGATATTTACAGCTATGGCATGGTTTTGTTGGAGATTGTGAGTGGAAGGAGGAACTTTGAAGTCTCAGACGAAACAAATAGGAAGAAGTTCTCAATTTGGGCCTATGATGAGTTTGAGAAAGGTAATATCAATGGAATTTTGGACAAAAGACTAGCTGATCAAGAAGTTGATATGGAGCAAGTGAGAAGAATGCTTCAGGCAAGCTTTTGGTGCATCCAAGAACTACCATCTCAGAGACCACCAATGAGCAGAGTGGTACAAATGCTGGAAGGGGTTGCTGAGATTGAGAAGCCTCCTGCCCCAAAATCAGTGATGGAAGGACCTGTTAGTGGAACCAGCACATACCTGAGTAGCAATGCCAGTGCATTCTCCACAGTTGGAGCTTCACCCCACGGTCCCTCCTCATCATCATCATTCAAGACTAGCGGTGTTTCGACCTTCCCCTCAGGACGGAACACTGACAAGGCAACTTCATCCCTTCTACATGTACAATCAGAAACATGATAGAAACATGCTTCCTTGTTTATGATTATCAATAAAAATCGGTTCACAGTCACATATGCTTGGGATTTCATGCTGGAACAGCAGAAGTAAGCTTTGCCGGTTAAATCCCATGTATTATATGATAACTATATACTCTTTGTTTCCTATTCTTTACCCAGATTATTGTATACTTGTTTAAAATAGGATGTTCCAAATTTAAAGTTGAAGCAATAATCCGTATTCAATTCCCGAGTTTTTGCTTAATGTGTATATTCATATGATGAATGAGAAGTTTTATATCTGGACTATTGAAACTCCTCTGGTCATTGTTTCAGTTTTCTGAACAATTTGTGTTTCTACAATTTTATTTACAACTATACAGTTCATGATTGGTCGTTTAATTTTTTATTTTTTTCAACTCTTCCAAAATTTCTATAATTGCTATCTCTGTGCTAGTCGCAATAACGTTGTTGTCTTGTATAATCTGTGTTGGCCACAGTTTCTAATTGCTGAATCAGTCTCTCCCCTTACATGAATAAAGTTGCATATATCTGAAGTTTTATAAATGGGAAAACGATATGGTTTGTGAAAAGTATTTCTGATGGGCTTGAAAATTAAGGGAGTTAGTTAATTATTTAGGGAATTCTTCTAGAATATTCAGTGAAGATAAAATAAAAGGAGAGGGAATGTATGGAGTGAGGTATGCATGTATTGACTGAATATTGAGGGAATTGAGTTTTCTTGGAACCTAAGTTTGTTGTTTCTAAGGGTGAGTTAGGGGTCTTTAATGTCAATTGGCCTTTGTAAAAAGAGGCTATGACTCCATTGAAACGATAAAATCAATGTGTTCATTTTGGGTTCCATCAATTTCATTTCAGTTTGTATATTCAGGATTCAAGTATTAAATAATCCAACCAGCAATATGCTAGTAGTTAATAACTATGTTTAATTATGTTTGTGTATTTAAGGTAAATTATGATATTATTTGGTTAAAAAATTTTAAGTCTTGAAATAGAAAACATCTTGATGAACTGTGACAGGTTCAGGCAATAGAAATAAGAACAGGTAGAAGAAAAACAAACTACTGACTGTAATATTAGTGGAGATTTTGGTATTTCGGTACACCATCTACTTGAAACGGCAACTTCAAAACATAAAAATAAAGGGAAGAAATACAAGAAATTGGTAAGACAGTAATAGAGCACATAGAGATGCTCTGGGTATCTGATGGCACCCATATCAGCTTTAAAGAAATTACAACAATTAAAACAAATAACATACTTGGATTAATCACAAATTGAACTAACAGCTCAGTACACATTACTACTACTGCAATATAACAGTGCGAACATCACACAAACTCCACGATTACTATGGCTACATGATAAGTCCATGAAATATGACTTAGAACATATGGTTGTTGATATGAAAATATGGTAAAAAAGAATACCTTTTGTGTAAAACTAACCCCAATTACATTAAGTTGAAAATATATGGAGTAAAAAGTTAATGAGCTATTTTTTATGTTTCTGGTCCAAAAAGAGAAGTGAAAGAAATGGTCTACCAAAGCAAAAGAAAAGAAAAAAACAAATGGGCTTGTGTCAACTCAACAAAGCCCAATTGAGCAACAGAAAGGAAAGATGGAGAGAAAGAAAAGGTAGGCAGCGTTGGACAAAAATTGGGAAAAACACACTCTGAAGCCATTGAACCCTAACCATCACTGCTCGAACCACTCCTCTCAATCCCCTTCACCATACCACCCCAAATCGTGACCTCCTCCTTCTGAACCATCCACCCAAAAGCCACAACCCATTCTCCCTAAACCTGAACCACTTGGATCTTAAGACAAAAATCAAGCCATTCCCCATCTAAGCACGATCGAACCAAATAGTGACTTAGAGTTGGTTACAAATCGGTTAGAGGGGCTTTTGTGGAAGGTTGTTATAATGCGCGTGAACACTCCTGAGATGGATAAGCGGTGCGTGGACAAGCATGTGATGAGGGAAACTCTGGCCCATGGCCCATGCATGTGAGGAGATTGAGTATAAGAAGTGAGAAAACGTTGTAGGGACTCTCTCTCACACCCTCTTCTGCTTCATCTTCTTCTTTGTTATTTTTTTGCGTTCTAAACTTGTAGTAATTTCATTTTTTAGTTCTGAGTTGTGATTTGTAAATGCAAGCATAGTGATGAGGTTATTTCCGTGAATAACTCTCGTATTGTAGTTTTAGATTTTTTCATTTTATTTTCTTTGTAGTTTCTTTCATTCCTGTCATTAAGCTCACTCCTTATGGATTTGAGCTAAACTCTCTAAGGGTTGGGTGATTGAGACCCCAACCATAGTGACTGATGTTAATTACGTTTCTGATATTAATGTTTAATTTCCGTAGTTCAACTCGGCTTTATATGTTTGAATGTTCTTCCATTTCGGCCGTATAGAATATGTTTGCGTAGGAGAAGTTTATTGGGAAATATTCTTCTCTGGAAAATGAAAATTCAAGTATGGATCATATCCATTTGTTCCATCTTATCCCAGTTCGTAATTCGAATTCGAAATCCAAATCCAAATTTCAAATTTCAAATTCAAATTCAAATTCAAATTCAAATTCAAATTCAAATTCAAATTTCAAATTTCAAATTTTAAAATTTGAAATTTCAAATTTCAAATTTGCCCAAACCTTATTTTGATCAAGTCAACTCTTTGACTTACTAGGATGCATGCCCCAAGGGGGACAATGACCATATTGCCACTTTTTAGGCAAAATTTTACCTGATTGTCACTTCTGAAAAAAAATTTGCCAAAATACCACGCCTGAATCCCGCTGGTCTGACAAGCGGGAATGGACTGGACACGTGTCAGCGTCTGAATGGTCAACCATTCTCGCTGGGCCGCCCAGCTAGAATGACAGAATGCTGACACGTGGCAAAAGTACAGACATGCAGAGAATGCCTGTGCTTTTGCCACGTGTCAGCATTCTGTCATTCTAGCTGGGCGGCCCAGCGATAATGGTTGACCATTCAGACGCTGACACGACACGTGTCCAGTCCATTCCCGCTTGTCAGACCAGCGGGATTCAGGCGTGGCATTTTGGCAAAATTTTTTTCAGAAGTGGCAATCAGGTAAATTTTTATGAAAGGAGTGGCAATATGGTCAATGTCCCGCCCCAAGGCCTCTTTGGCCTACCATCATATTTGGGCCCATTAGTGGATAAAACTCTTTCACCAGTAATGCCCCAAAAAGGGCGCATAGATCAAGTGGGCTTGGAGTCCCTACTCCAACCTAACTTGACTCATAGTCTTGACAAAGCACAATAACTCATTATTGGCCCAAACTTGCTATAACTTGCAATAAGGAATAACCTTTGTGTGTGACCCATTAGGCCCAATTAGTTACTGACATAAATAAACTTGAACCAGTTAAACTCCTTTAAAAAGGCCCAATCCATTTAATGACTACATGATACACTAGCAATGCTCTGTAGCCCCAGAACTGATTGAGTTGATCAAGTGATCTACCTTTCTGATTCGGATACCGTGCCAGGATTATCCCTCACATCGTCGGTCACATTTAGTCGAGAGCAAGGATAGGGTATCATCTATCTTTATTGACTAAATATAATATTTCACAGGAGCTAAGAATCTTCTTCTATTGACTCTAAGACAGATCATGACTCTTCATGATCTCTTACTATGCATAGATTCCCGAGTCAACTAGAAGTCATCTCATCCCTACCGATCTTTGTGAACGACTAATCCTTTATAGGGGATTGTGAGTGCTTTCGACATGTCCATCTATACTCATGTATTCGAGTTATACCCAAGAGTACATTGTTCTCCCCATTTTCAGGCGAATAGAGTTGTACAGTCAAAGTAGAACTCTAGGACATAGTATTCGATTACATCCTTAAGTCTAGGACGATCCGCACTACCAAACGTTCAGAGACTTTACAAATCCAATGATACTCTCCATAATGAATCCTTGTGGAGTCTCTAGGGGGTCAGTTCAGTGTTATCTGTTCTCCAACAGATCCACCCATGACATCAGCTAAGACATCACCATGCCTGCATTCCATGAGGTCCCTACCTTGTATCTCCATACAAGTAGATGATGTCGTACTAGTCTTATTGAGATCACCAATACCCTTTCTTGGTGATTCAAGACCAGGAACATATTTTAGGTAATAGACATTCAGTGTCCTCGAGTCCTCATGATCATGATCCCTATCATAGATCCTCGAGTGTACACCTGTTCTATTCCTAGGGTCTTTATCTTTAAACGTATATTTACAATAAAATATTGGCAAGACATAAATATGATAAAGATAAAGTTTGTTCAAATTTATTAATCATGAAATACTAAATAGGAAAAGGTGTTCATCTGATAAAATAGATTGTCTCTAGGACACCTATATACTAACATTAAAAACCCAAATTCACCAATAATTTTTATTGCATTTATCACTCCAACACATCATTCTAAGTCACTTTCATCTAATGCACAATTTCAATTTGAGCTCTCTAACAACATCAATCACACAATTTAACTCTAGGGCACAAATTATCAATCTCATGAATTAACCAATGGAAAGTGTTAAAACTTACTCAAAAGCTTGGCCTAGGACTCCTCCACAACATACCCAAGCATTGGAGAATCAAACAACTCCATGAGTGCAAATCTACACCAAAGGGCCGCGGGTTTGGGGGGGATTTTCTCAAAATCTAGGGAGTTTCATGGCTCAAGACTACCATGGTTGTGTTTGGATGGTGATTTCCAACAAATTTCTTGACAAACTTCACTTGATTTGATGATGATTTAATGAAGTTAGAAGAGAAAGAAGATCAAAATGAAAATGGCCAAGGGAGCGCGGGTTTGTGAGGAGTGAGGGGAGGAAGATGATGATGCACAAGTGACTTTGCCATGTGGCAAGGTCCATTTAAGTGGGGTGGGTCCCATCGCCACCTCACGCGTTATAAAAAAAAAATAATTCAAATCTTCCTCCGATTTCACTAAACTCCATAATTTCATAACCTATTTAGAAACTCTAATTTTTAACATTAACCATTGTCCTTTAATTTCCCTTGATCAGATGAATCCGGAGTTTTCTGGTCGTTCGGAGAAATTGCAGTTTTAAGCTGTTACGCGCGCCGTGGGCACGCTTCCCCAAACTCACTAATTTCTGTCAATTTTCATCAGAAATCACATTTCCTAGTCTTATATACCATTTATAACTTATATCCAAATCTAGAGCTCAAAATTCAATCGACACGCTTTACGGT